GGTAGTCTTAGCCCACCCTTCCAGAGGTCATTATTGCTCAGCAATTTGCTATTAATGAAAATTACCTGTTGCTCTGTTACATTTTCGATAGAGGGGAGAAAAAAAATATTGACAGACAGAACCAATTTGTGTGCAATTCTATCCAAGCCATTAGGAAACAGATATTAAATGTTTCAGTCACTAGGCCATAATTCAGTGCTTGGTACATCATCCATTCTTGTGGCTTTCTTCTTTCAGACGTAGTGTTCAGGTGGCTGAGACCAGTGCTGTGTCTGTATACTCTTTATTAATGTCCACCACCATGTACTGTAGTATTTTAAAAAATGAGGATCTGAGAGGGAAAAGCAGATAGTTTTTCTTTTCTTTTCTTTTCTTTTCTTTTCTTTTCTTTTCTTTTCTTTTCTTTTCTTTTCTTTTCTTTTCTTTTCTTTTCTTTTCTTTTCATTTTTTTGTAGACAAACAATTTCTATGGGAATTTTTAGGAGTAAATGCAGTGTTTCTCAAAATTGTCATTCACTTAGCAAGAAAAAAAAAAAAATTCCTCTTTTAGAGGAAATTTAAAAATGTGCTGTTCCAAACAGTAAAATTACCTTCCTTCCCTCTTCCTTATTCTATGTATCTGAGCCTGCACAGGGGTATTTAAAAAAATTAAGTGTCATAGTAACAGCAGCTAAAGTGAAAACTTTTCTATTAACATTTCCATGAAAGTTGATGAGCTCTGGATGCATATGATTTGTGAAAAAAATATATATCCATGAACCTTATTTCATTATGTATATTACTCAGGCATGTGAGCATGCTGATGATTTCCTGCAAATCAGGTGACTTTTGATTAAACTTTGACTCTTGAAAGATAATTAGCATAAGAAAATAGTCTACATAAATTAATTGCCCTGGGACTCCCAGCAGGACTTCCACCCACACACTATGCCCATGGATCTTTGTTGTCCACTTCAGGTCAGGCTTTGGTCACTGCCTGAGCAATGTTTAAGTGTGTCCACCTGCAGATCTGTCTTGGACCTGTTTTGTACCCTTTTCTCCAGCCCTGTCTCTGACCCTGTCTTTTTTGCTCCTAACTGGACTCCCTGGAGGGACTCTAAGCCTGGCCCACCACTTGGCCTTGTTGATGGAGCCTGTTGCTAGGATCCTGCTCTGCTTGCTGTGTTCAGACCCTGTGAGGCTGAACCTTGTTGGTAAGAACATGTTTGTGCTGGGGTTATCTTGGCTCTTATCTCCTCTTCTCTCAGCAAGTCCTTGTGGCAACCTGAAATACATCTGGGCAAAGTCTAAAATTCCAGTTAAGAAAATTCTACCAGTGATTTTACCAACCTTGATTTCCATAACAATATCATAGAATTGTTTGATTTCCAATAGACCTTTAAAGATCATTTTGTCCATCCCATCTGCTTTGGACAGGGACATTGTCCACTAGATCAAGTTGCTCAGAGCCATGTCCAACCTGACCTTGAACAACTTCCAAAAATGGGACATTCACAACTTCTCTGACAAACCAGTGTCTTGCCACTCTTATCACAAAAAATTTCATCCTCATATCTAATCTAAATCTGCCCTCTTTAAAATCATTGTTCCCTGTAAAATTGCAAGAACAATCACAATTCTCTTAGCCTTTCCTCATAGGAGAGATGCTCCACCTCTCTGATTACTTTTTTGGTTCTCTCTAGATCAGGTCAATGTCTTTCCTGCAGAGCTGGATGCAGCACTTCTGGTGGAATCTCAGCAGGCTGGAGTAGACGAGGGTGACCCACCTCCCTCGACATGCTGGCCACACTTTTTTTGATGCAGCCTGGGATACAGTTGGTTCTCTGAGTTCTGAGCACACATTGCCATCCCACGGCTAATTTTTCATCCACCAGTATATCTCCAAGTCCTTCTCTGCAGGTCTGCTCTCCCTCTGTTCATCAGAGTACTCTGTACCGGTAGGGGTGATTAGTGTGATCCACGTGAAGAACATTGCACTTGGTCTTTCTGAGCTCCATGAGGTTTTGTGTAGGCCCACCTCTCCAGCCTGTCAAGGTCCCTCTGGATGGCTTCCATTCCCTCCAGTTTGTAGGCTGCACCACACAGCTTGGTGTTGCCCAAGAGATAACACTCATTACTAATCTCTATTTGAGAAGTTTCCAAACATGGATTAAACAGTAACAGAGAAAACTCCTGGAAAACTGGACCCTTAGTTGACAATCCTGACTGTCCTAACAGTCCTTGAAATGGCTTTGAATAATAAAACTAGCAGTTTTCAAAATAACTCCCAGGTATGGAGATACCTAGAAGTTAGAAATGATCAAACTCTTCAGCAGGCATATTTTATTGTTCTAGTTGGCCTCAGTGCTAGACAATGGTTTGAGCATGTTTCATTTACTACTACTTTTGTAGATCACATGTATCTATTTGACTCAAATTCTCAGCTTTTCTCAACGTGATAAAGGCAGTTGATTTCCATAAAAATATTCTAGTGAGCAAATTTGAGCACATAGACTCAATAAGGTAGTAATCTTGATCAGGAACTGTGTCTTAATAGATTTCCATGAACATTAAGAAGCAATGAATTAAATTCTCTCAAATGCACATTTTAAAAATGATTCTCCTATCAGCCCTGACAGTCATACAAAAGACCTGGTTAGTTTAGTTTCACTCCAGTGCAATGACACCAGTGCCATGACTTCCGGACTCTACTGCAGAATTTAGTGAGTAATGGTTTTGGCAGTAAACTTTACCAAATATTTACTGTATTTTTAGAAGCTGTTGCTCAAATTAGACTGACTAGGTATGTCTGGATAGACATGTGACACTGAGTCAGAACACCTCTGAGAAAGCAATGTTTAATGTAAATATTTTTAATTTTCTTTTAACAGACAGATTTTGTTTTTACTAATAAGATACATACCCTTTTGTTTCATAAGCATGTAATTATGTTAACCATGGTTACAAGATTTACCAGTGGAGCTGTAATCATTGAATAACATATTGTATGATGACAAAAAAGGAGATTCTTATCTAGGTTTTCATTTTTGACCCACTGATTCACATTGAAGTGACTAAGTTATTTATAACTTTTCCATTCTTTCTAGTCAGAGTTATTTTTAATTGCATCTATTATTTTATAGAAGCATGTGAAGTAGCATTTTGCTTGATTATTTCCAGACACAAAGTCTGTCTTAGTAAAGGGGAGGAAGTAGGTAGTTAATTTATCATCTCTATAAATTAACTCCATGTCAGGGAAAGATTTTTCTTTGTGTCATTAGGACAATCAAAATAATAGAAGGCAAAAACAAGCAGGAGGATTTTCTACCCAGTTCTGTATTGAGTGTATCAGCTTTTCTCCACTCAAAGTGATCTCAAAAGGCAGAAATTTCAGGATGCAAAGCAATGGGCCATATAAGAGTAAAGACTTGGAGCTGACTGACTAGATAACAGCTTTGCGTAAAAGGATCAGGGGGTCCTGGTGGACAACAGATTGAACATGAATCCACACTGTGTTCTAGCAAGTAATGAGAGCTAACTACACATTCTGATTTAGAAAGAGCACCAGAAGTGCACAGCAAGAGTATGAGAGGGCTAAGAAGCAAGTTAAAGCAAAGGAAAATTTAATTCCATCCAGTTTTCACAATAAGGGTGGTCAAAGGGTGGACCAGAATGCCCAGAGAAATTGTGGAAATTCCATTCTTGATGCTATAGATTCACAGTTATCCTGAAAAAAGTTTTGGGTGCCTTGATCTAATCTGGGAGTTGGGTCTAACCTCTAAATATTTTCAACAGGAGTTTAGATATCATTCCTTCTGGAGAAGCCTTCCAACCTGAGCTGTTCTATCAAGACCTTTATTTTCCATAGTGACACAGAGAGAGTCATCAAGTGCATGCAGCAAGTTTGCAGATGACACCAAGCTGGGTGCTGTCATCTGCAGGCCTAAAGGAGAGCCAAAAATGTGATCAGAAGTCCGGGCCACTCCTATAAGGAAAGGCTGAGACAGTTGAGTCTTGTCAGCCTGGGGAAGAGAAGGCTTCAGGGAGACCTTATTGGTAGCCTTTTAGAATTTGAGGGGGGCCTTCAAGAAAGATGTGGGCAAACATTTTAGCAGGGGTAGTGGCATGACAAGATTTATCATTTTTAAACATTGAGAGGGCATTTAGATTTAGATATAAGGAAGATTTAGATTTAGATTATATAAGGAAGAAATTTTTTACAGTGCGAGTGGTGGAACACTGGGACCTGTTAGGTAGAGAGGTGGTGGATGCCCCATCTCTGGAAACATTCAAGGTCAGCTGGGATGGGGCTTTGAGCAACCTGATTCACTTATAGCCGTCCCTGCTCATTACATAGGGGTGGGACTTGAAGACCTTTAAAAGTCCCTACCAGCTCAAAGAATTCTATGATTCTATGGATCTATGAATCTCTGCTTCTGAAATGACTAAAGACTATTCAAAGCTTATTGTTTTCTAGACTTCATATTTATTTTATTTTCACAAAACAGTCACCTCAGCTTTTTACAAAGTTGAATGAACCTAGATTCTCCCCTGAGGAATACTACTGTTTCATTTGTCTCTTCTCAGCAAGAGATAGTACTAATCTTCTGATTGTGAAGACTGATGCTGATTTAAGGTCATAGCTCAGGAAAAAAAATGTGCAGGGTAAAACTTTTCAAGTCAAATGATGTGACAAACATTCTAGGCATTCAGGGCAGCATTCTGGGACTTTCTTCTTTGCTAAGATATAGTAATAATTAAGCAGTAACACTGCTAAAATTTGCATATATCTGTAGCTGAGAAAATCCTTTTCCTCATTCCTGCAATTTAGGATGATGTACACAACAAACTATCAAAAGCACATAATAAATTAATGTCTCATATATATGCTACCTTGAAATTGAAATAAAGCTCTTCAGATCCTTACAGGTGGGACTTTTAAATAACTGATATATGGCACACAGAAATGTTAAGTCAGGATGCCAGGTAGAATCTTCAAATTTTTAATTGAATTTACTCACTTAGCATCTTCTTTCCCATCTTGGAGTTCCTGTTGCTCTTCCTGTTGAGTTGTCTTAGCTGGTTCAGTTGATTTTTCAGGTTTTGAAGGCTCAGGTGCTTTTGCTGATTCTGCATCTAGAAAAAAGGTTTTAATTATTAAAAATGAATTTTAAAATAATTATAATAATACTTTTGAAGGAATCACAGTCTGTCAGACATTATTTCTTCAGGAGATAAGCACTAAAAGACACAACTTCTGGGACCTGGCCTCTGAACAATATCCTGCATAAATCTGTTTCAGTGCTAACTGTAACTTCATGTTTATGATAAGTTCACCTTTTAGTATATTTAATTTACTTGTGGTTTTTAAATAGATTCATCAGTAGCCAGCTCAACAATGGTCAATTCAGAGCTCCTCTGTATTTATGAGGGACAAGAAGTGAAGCAGCAAGGTAGAGGACAGATAGATCTGTCAAGAAATTCTTTGTGAAATGCAGGAAAAAAAGTGAAGAGTAGTTAATTTTCTTTTGAATAGAAATGTTAATAAAATTATCTATGCTTCAGTGTTTGTACTGCATCAAAGATATTGCTTCAGCTGCCATGACAGTACTGGTCATTGCTGAGGAAATTATGATTGAAATATATCATTAAGGATGTATGTTGTGCTTTGTCTAGTCTATTTCTTCATTTCTGTGACTACTAACTTTTTGGAAGTCATGTAAGTAGGAAGTCTGTAGAGTTTGAAGCAAGTGGTATGGTCTCTTGCCATTTAAGTGGCCTTAAGTGATGCTTTCTTATAATTAGTCCCATATATTTTTTTAAACTTTCATGTTGAAAATAATTTGATAGCTCTCATCAGTCTGACACTTTGCATAGTGGAGGAAGAAGCTCAGCCTTCACAATTACTTTAAGGAATATGATGATAGAGGAAAAACTTGGCAGCAAAACACGGCTACCAATAAATCAGAAGCCTGGTGTATGTGCTGTATTTTAAGTTTGAGACAGCGTAAAGAAAATCAAACTTTCAATATTTTACATGGATACTGTAAAGTTACTTTCCTGATAGTTAAACTTCATATTTACAGAGTTATTCTTTTAAATGAAGTAAAAAATTGTTTGCTGCAACTGCACTTGTTGCAGTTTCTGGTCCCTTTTGAATTCATGGTTTGTCGTATCCCAGTTTTCCCTGCCTTGACTCCACAATTCAAAAAGCCAAGTACTCAATCAAGAATGACAGCAAAGATAAACTCAACATTTCTGTAATCATCTCACTTTGGAAATTTTTTTTGTTATAGTAGTTACTCCTAGATGTATCTATAGGCTACAATCTGATATGAACAATTAGAGCAGTGAAATGGTGCTGAAAGCATGGCATTGAATTTATATCTGTCAGACATAAATATTTGGCATATCTGGCAGATAAATTTCAAATGAGGTGTATTGTGATCCACTGAAATTAGTGATAATCAGCAGCTTGAATAAAGTAGTTTGACTCATGGACTTATTCTTTTGGTTTGGTTTTATTAAAAAGGAATCCAGTTGTGAGTTCCTAAAGGGTTTTGGGGTTTTTTGGGGGGGAAAAAGAAAGAGGAAATCAGGGTTCCATCAAGAGGGTTTTGTTAGAAGGGCATTCTTCATTGAAACAAAATACCAGTGTAGTTACACTGTTTAGAGTAACAGGCTCCTGACTAAGACAATCCGTCTTTGGAATGACAACATGTATGAGAAGCAAGAAGTACAAAGTAAAAAATTATGCTTGCACATGAACACTCCTGTGCAGAGGGATAATAACTTCTAAGCTTGATAGATATTCTCAAGGTGTTCAGTCTGATGTCTGAACCCACACTGATCGTTAAATGCTGATTGCATTCAGACTGAAGGAGAACCTTGCAATCCCATGAATATACCAAATTTTTACATACAAGGCTTAATACATTTCTCATTTGCATTAATATTAGGACATCAGAGCCTAGCACCACTAATGGCTTTGTGTCAAATTTTAGTTTTTCCTCTCTGTGTGAAATTGAGAGGGCTGTCTGCATAGTGACATATTAAAAAACCAAACCCTTTGCTCTTCACTGCTTGAATCTAGCTCGTAGTCTTCTAACTCTTGAAACCAGGCCCAAAGGAATGCCCTTAAGTACAGTATGGTAATCATTTTAAGGAAAATTTAGACTACAACTGTTGGTTTCCAGAATAAATAATGATCCAGCAGGTAGGTGGCAGGTTTGCAGCTTCGTATAACTTTGGTCATTGTAGTGAAATCATGAGAAAAAAGGCAAAACCAAGTCAAGGCACCAACAATGAATGAAATTTTCAAAACATACAGATCCATGTGAACTCAACAAAATTTCTGAATTATTTGCATTCCCATTGTGCTGGATATAGGTGGATGAAGTTCCCAATGCATTAGTGGTGGGAGGTGAGGAATGAGGCCCACTGTTGTCTACACATTCTAACCATCTGACCTTCCTGCAAGGATAATGCATTTTAAAACTGCATTGGGATAAGTGTTACTGGTTCTATTTTAAGATGGAAGAGGAGAGTGACAATTGTGGAAGTATCATTTTGAGGGCAAAACACAGCTTAATGGAATCCCTCCAAATAAATCTGATTAAATTTTTAAGTCCACTGAAACCTCATCATACCAATGATCTGCCTAGGACCCCAAGGAGCAGGAACAAGATGCAATTTATAAAATCTATTTGTTTACCTCTCTTAGATAAGTTTTTAGATATTAAAATAAGAATAAATGTCAGCATCTGGATAGTAGCACTCTGAGTACAGAACAGAAAAAGTGCTTTTGCTTTCCTATACTTCAGGAAGGGAAGAATTTATTTTCTAGAATTCCCATCCAGCTCCACTGCCTTGCACTAGCAGTCTGACCAATATCACATCTATGCTTTCCCTCCCGTATCTATGGGTTGGATATACATAAATGTAGAACTTGTCATGGCTAGCAATTATATAAAAAGCAAGAGTTTCCCGAGCTTCTTTTGTCTGCTCAAAACACATTTTAGTTCAATTTAATAATCAACTGACATAATCTTATTTAATTTTGAATCCACAATATATTGTTTTACAGGGTGATTCACAAAACAATGGCTCACTCTTATCTTCTTTTTCTTCTGTGGAAGCAATATTTCCATCAGAACACCCACACATAATGTCTATTTGATATTAATTGAATATATATGGTTAAATACTTCCTTCTACTCTTCTTAGTGACTTTTGCAAAAGTGTAGTCATTTTAAAATACACTGTTGCTTAAAAACTACTATATGATTGCACAATGATAATGAAGTACTATGTATGTAATACAGTTCTAAATGTTACCACTCATTTCTGATGTTTATTACCAGGATTAGTGTAAGCAATGTTAATTTAAAGAACATTTAATGTTGCTCTTTTTTGTTCCTTCAGTAATGAAAAATAATCCTGCAAATCTGATTGGCCTGAACTATCTTGACCTGTTTTCCAATACTTGGCAGAAACACAGAAGAGAATTAGTCATGGTAGACAAAAAGACAAAGATAAAAGAATACTTTATATTTTTTTCTGCTGAATATATATTTGATGGTTACTTGAAAACTTTGTGTAGCTTGATGTTTTTCCTCTGTGCTGGTTTCAGCACACTTTATACGCTGACCATGCTCAGCATATAAACTGAGAGAAAGAAGTAAGAAGGAATTTTGGAGTGATGGTATCTATCTTCCCAAGTAACTGCAGCACACGATTGGAACCCTGCTTTTCTGGAGATGGCTGAACACCTACCTGTCAATGGGAAGAGAATTAATTCCTTGTTTTGCTTTGCTTGTGTGCATGGCTTTTGCCTTCCCTAATAAACTGATAAAATATCTCAACCCACAAGTTTTCTAGCTCTTATCTTTCTGATTCTCTCCCCAGTTCTCCTGGACAGGGAATTAGTAAGTATGGGGTTTAGTTGCTGGCTGGGGTTAAACTGCAACATGCTTACGTGATAAAATTATTTTAGTTAATATACAAACAATGGTGCCAATTTTAATGGTGCATGGAAACATTTGATGGTAGACAGCATTGTTTGAAACAGAAAAAGTTGTATAAAGGCATGGTTAGAGTCTGCTAGTAGGAGGCAGAGTGACTAATGTTTGAGTAATCTGTTCTTTTTAGCAGTGACGTATTATATGCCTTAGAAACATAATTTTAAGCACTTAAAAGCAGTGACTTTCTGGGACATTTCCTCTTCTTGCAAAGTGTTAAACATTTCAAAATATGTTCGAAGTCTCAAATTGGCTTTTAAGTGGTATTGCCTGCAAAGTAGCATAGAGAACAGGCTCTCTTGAATAGCTGGAGTAAAGACTGACTTTGCATTTGTAGCAATGGAATGGGAATGAGAGAACCAGTCTACAAACTCTGTGTGATACTTGTGACATAGTTAGTCATTTGTCTGATTGTTTTTGCCTCACAAAGGTATTCTTGAGCTATCCAAAATATCTAAAAATGCCTACAAAATCACAAAGATCTCAAGAAAAAATAAAACCACAAGAAACCTATGGATAAAGGAGAGAAAAGGCTTCAGCTCTGACATTACCAAATGCACATCTTTGTAATCTTCTTCTTCTGATGTGAGCAAATAGAGCAGTGAAATGGCGCTGCAAGTATGGCATTTCTTGAAACAATGTTTCTTAAACAAATGCTATGTGCAGGGAAAAAATGTTCAGAAATCATCAGGGGTGAAATAAAAAATCAGTAAGTAGGTCCATCTTAACCCTCAACTTCAGTGGCTAAAAATATATTATTTAAGTTTATTTTCTATGAAAGAGAGATTGTATGAGTAAGTTGAGTTTGTTTTCCTAACATTTAGACATGCCACTCATGTGAAAAATGAAGATCTGAGAAGAGTTAAAAGACTTCACATTAGCAAGAGTGATTAAAGCTGATTAAACGTATTCAAGTCCTTGGTAATCTTTGAAAAAAATATTTTACTTTTTTATTATTTTTTGGGAATAATAGCTGCCTCTTTTCTGAGTGCCAGTGATGAGCATAAAATATAAGGTGACAAGGAATAAGATTATTTCAAAGCCTCTTTGGATGGGCAGGTTTAGTCTATTGGACTGCAGCTTATAAAATTACATATTTAATTTATATTTTTTGAA